AGAGAAAAGAAGAGAGAGAGAAAAGAAGAAGTAACAAGGAAGAAGAGAAGAAGAGAAAAAGGAGTTAAAATGATCATGCATAAGCAAAAGTGCATTAAGTGGGTTAGTTTGGGAGGGCAGCTGGCATCATGAAAAATGCTTTTTCTACAAACCTGCACACTACAGAGGCAGTGCATGCACATTAAAATATCACTGAACCATATTTTAAAAGGAAAAATCAGCCAACAAGAACAATGAGACAGATAATCATCATAAAACTGTTTAAATCCAGTTTAAACAAGCCTTATGGATTATATTGTAGTTAAACGTCCGTGCTGCTACTGTTTCATTAAGGAAGTAGTAATTGATCTGCAGGAAGACCCAAAGAATTGTCTTCGTCCTTTAATGGACCCCAGCTCCCCAGATGTAAAGAGACCATCGCGTAACTTGATTTCAACACCCGGTCCTAATCCAATACAGTTGCGAAGTCTCTATATGACAAAAGACTCCGCTTGCCCTCTGAGCAGCTTAATGGCATGCACAAGGTCAACCGGACAAGAGGCAGGAAAAATTAACGTCCACGAGACCAAGAGGTCAATAACAGAGACAGAGAGAGAGAGAGTGAGTGAAAGAGACAGACGGCAAAAGGCAGAGAAGAAAGAAAAGATAATGGAATAAGAAGAGCAAGAAAGCCGCTCCGTATTACTGGGTTAGTAAAAGAGAACAGGGGTCTTCTGTTAGTCTAAATGAAACAGAACCAGAGACTGAATTCTTGAGTTGGGGCTCAGCTGTGAGACTGTTATTGTGCTCTATCATGATCATCTATCTGTATCTATAAGAAGAATGTTTCAGGTTCTTTTATCTACAGAGCTTTTTTTTAATATTACCCAGTGGTCTGCTCACCTGCTGAATTGGGAGTTGATGGGGAGTTTGCCTGGCTGCCGTGAGCAGACACACTGGTTGCAGTGACTGCGGTCCTCGCTGCATACATGTTGGCCTCTTCTTGGAACTTGCCGATGTTTTTCTTGTATCGGATTCTCTTGTTCCCAAACCAGTTTGATACCTGTCAACAAAGCAATGACCAGATACAGTAGCTGAGTTCTAACAACTTTAAGATGATATATATGCAAACAAACCAATGAGAGTCAGACAATGAATATAAATGATTAATGGCTAACATCACCTTTCAGCACCAGCCTTTGTGGCTGCTATGACATGATTGGTTTCAATATGGACTTGCAAATGACTAGATATTGTTATGGGTTTTGGTATGTGTGAGGCAAGTGTGACTCCTTCAAACTGCAACACAACATTAATATGCAACACTAATATTTCTTCTTTTTTTATTCAAAATATTTAATACAAATGTATCCTGTAAATATTTTTGAATGTCGTGGATCAGACCTATGGTTGTTGTTTTCCACCAACCTAATGGAAATACAAGTGCTAGCATCTCTTGATCAGTGATTCATAGACCAATTCTATACAAGTCCTTCCTATTGAAAATTATTAATACGTTTATTTATATTGCACTTTTCAAGAGAAAACGTCACAAAGTATTTCACACAAAAAAACCAAAAGACATTAAATGTCAGCCAAAAACGAAATAAACAAAACAAATTAAACAAATGGCTCTTGATCTGTTTTTTAAATGTGTCCACAGATAGTAAATCAAATGGGAGAAAATTCCAAAGTGTAGGAACTACAACTTTAAAAATTACAGTCACCTTTTACTTTAACAACTGACGAACCCTGATAAGGGAACCTCAGATTGCAACTAGTTTTAACATAGGCAGGTGCCTGCACATGCAAGGCTCTAAACGTGATTACAAGAAAGAGACCTTTTGGAGGACTTGGTCAGAAGCTTGGCAGCAGCATTTTGGTCCATTTATAAGCAGTTAGTGATGTCTTGCCAAGACAGGTAAAAAGGGAAATTATAGTAATCAAGATGGGAAGAAATAAACGCATGTATAATCATCTCTATCTCAGCTATGGACACAATGGGCCTGAGTTTAGCGACATTTCTCAGCTGGTAGAAACAATTTATATACTGACTCAAAGCCTGGCCCAAAGAAACACTGCAGAGTAGGTATAAGAGACAGGATAAAGAGCCAAGAATATGATTGTTTTTGATTGTCACAAATTAGAATTTACAGACACAGTCTGCAAATTGCAGTCAATAATAAATACCACAATTAAAAAACAACAAAATAGCATAACTTAAAGCATCTTATAATGTCTATCCTTTCACATTTTTCCTCGAGAGGGGCACATCAAGCCACAAAAAACAAAACAAAAACAGTTCCATTCACATCATGTTTAACCTACAAAGGCAAAATCAAACAACAAAGAAGTCATTAGTCTATGTGAAGATTACTATTACTATTCATAAAATCCTGTATAACAAAATTCAATATGCAGCCAGTGTTGGCTCATGAAACATACACCAATGTTTGTGATTATAAATTGAGATTTACTAAAACCAGTAATGATATTTAGTGATAATCTGTCGGTTGTTAACAATACGTTAGACTTTTACCCCCTATTAAAGGTCATGGTAACCCCAAATAATGTTAAGATTACATTTATTGTAAAACTCAGCTAAATTAATGCTGATTATTTGGGGATTACCAAAACTCTAACTGAAACTCCAATCAAAGTAAAATCCTAAATCTTGCGTATCTTCAGTACCACTGATTTGATTGTTTTTGACCAAATGATTAACCACACAATCTAAGTATGTTGCTTTGTTTATTCTGGTTACCTGTGACACTGTGATGCTGCATTTCTTGGCCAGCTCTTCTTTGGCCTCCTCGCTGGGATAGGGGTTACTGAGATGGGAGTAAAAGTACTCGTTTAGGATCTCTGTCGCCTGTTTGTTGAAGTTCCTCCTCTTTCGTCTGGATAGACAACAGAAATGAGACAGACAGAATACACATTTATAAAAAATAGTGCTAAAACAACAACAACAACAACAGTAATTAAAAGCTTTTAAAATGCGTTTAAATAAATAACAAAAACACGGCAAAAAGAAAAATGTAACAAAAATGTCAGATATATATACAATTGAATCTGTTCAACAATTGCAACAGAAATAAAAAAAAAAAACACTTTGAAGCACAATGTATTCAAACTAAAGGATAGTTTAGAGGATGCTAGATTCTATTGCCCACATGGACACACACAGACCTGGCGTCGAGAAAGCGTGAGCGCAGGATCATGACGGCCTCGCAGGTGCTCTGTTTCAGCTGCATCTGGATGGAGCTGAACTTGCGGTGGATGATGCCGACCATGCGCTCGATCTCTTTGGGCGAGATGGGTCGTGTTCGAGACTGCTCCCTCAGCAGGTTCATCACATGGGTAGTGAACTCATTGCACGCCTGGATGCACAGACAGACAGGATTCATAAAAAGAATAACTATCATGGAGGCTCGACAGCTTCAGACAGAACAAAAAAGGATGAAATTGGATTCTGGAGAGGCTGCACCTTCACTGGTAGGCCTTGGACTCGTCAAAGCAGTGCTGACACTATAACAGCAGCAGCCTTAGAGGTAATAAGAACAGTCTAAATTAAAGCAGCAGACACAGTGCGATGTTCCACGCCAAACAAATGTGGCGGCAAAGTCATACAGTGGAGGCAGCAAGACTCACAGTGCTCTGAATATTAAAAAGACTTCTCTTCAATGGAAGAGAAAATGTGACAAGTGAAGAGAAATCTAAAATGACAGCAGGCTTTCAGTCCCGTTAACGTTCAAGAGGTTTAAACTGTCTCCCTCTCTTTTCACTCCATCTTTCAGTCTACCTCGTTCTCCCTCTGTCTGAATCAGTCACTGGATATGACTGCATTCAGAGTCAAGGTGTCTGTTGCTTGTCAACACCAGGGTTACGTCAGTCAAAGTGATGCACCGAGCAGCCGTTCTGCTTGCACACACACGCCAGACACTACTCACTCATACACGCGCAAGGTGTACGTAGCGCGGTGACACAAAAATGCTCAGGTGTGTATTGACTGTGACAGTTAGCGATGACTAGCCTTCCTCGGAGAAGATGACAAACCCAGAACGCTTTGACTTTCCGAGGGAATGACAAGACGTTACAGTCTTTGGAAAAGAGCTGGTGTGTGACTGATATAATGGCTGCTTGCCTGCTGAAGATAACATCTCTGAAAGCTCGGCCTGTCATGAGTGCGCCCGTGAGAGTTGATTTCAAGAGCATTATACTTTGTTTAAATAATCTGTAATTTACAGCAACTTCTTCTCATTTATGTTTAGAGTTGGAGATTTTTTCCAGCATGAAAAGGACAAAGAGCAAACAAAAAAAGCCTTGGAATACAATGCCAACCAGTAATAGAGCTAAAATATCATACTCACTCTAATGTTCTTAACTACGGGCAATTTAAATTGTCTAACTCACCTCAGGTGATGCTTTTTCACCTTATAAGGTTACACAGAAACTAGAGTGAGAACATATTAACTATGTAAATAAAGTATAGAAAAGGATAAAGGGCAAGCCCCCTCTTTATTTTTCTTGTATTTACTCATTTCATTTTTGTGTCCTAGAAGAGAAAATTCTCCTTTTGTTTTCCCCTCCTGCAGGGAGAGGTCAGACATCAGGGTCAACTTTATGAACATTGCCCCATTGCAAGTGGTGTAAATAAAATACTAAAAAAAGAGTTTTAATAGAGCAGATATTCCTATTATGGAGGGCTGAAATAAGGCTTCATCCACATTGAAAGGGTGGTACATGGGAATCCTACAGATGCACTTTTGTATTGACTCATAAAATGACAATATGAATTTATGTTACAGTAAGAGGAACTGAGCTAAATAACTGAGAATAATAAGAGCTGGTAGGAAAAAAGACAATATTCCTCTTCCCCACCTGTTCATACTTCTCCAGCTCCGTGTGGTAAATTTGTCGGATCTGAGTCAGCTTGGCCCGGTAGTCGGAGTGTTCTGCTGAGTTGTCGGCACCAACGCCGCCTGTGGCCGCTGCGGCAGCTGCTGCAGCGGCCGACCCGCCCCCTTTCTCCGGCCCGGCCACGCCCTCCGCCAGCAGCATGTTGTCCAGTCGCATCAGCTGAGGATCTGGAGGCTCCTCCTCCTGGGCGCCACGGATACTGAGCACTGTGGAGGACAGGAGAAGAAGATGAAGCAATGATACTAAACCTACTTCCATGGACCTTGAAAATGACTGAATAGCAAGAATTTTACAATGACTGAGAAAGAGTCTTAACTATTTTTCCTGCTCCTGCCTACTAAGTGAACTCCCTGAGATATGGCCGTCATTTTAATAGTTCAAGTCTGAGCCATAAAAACCTGCAGCCTCACAGTGGCTGGCAGCTAGGCAGCACCATAAAACTATAATTTTATCGATTCTGGCTATCATTTCATGTAAAAAAAAAAATTAACACAGCCTTCCACCAGAGTTAATCTTTCATTGCTCTCCTTATGCTCAGACTATGTTTAGTTTCTGGCTGATGGCTTTATTATCTTGTCAGATGCTATCTAAACAGAAAAACAAACTAATAACACCAGTTAGACACAGCGTATTAATGCAAAGACACCTGTCTCAAATAAATCAGCTGAGGAGAATTTGAGCTAAATCAAATAGTTCAAACGCTAGATGAAGATACACAAATTAAAAATCTGATGATTACTGTAATGAAAAGGTATAGTATGGGTAAAATGATTTGATTCATTAAGGTTGATAATTTTAACTCAGCAAGTCAAGCTAAAATTGTTCTCATCATACAAACAACCACTAAATTGACACTCTAACACCACACCTGGAACACCAGTGCAGCTTTCAGTGTTGTAATCTTTACTTAGCAGGACTAAGGATGCTTTTACAACTGACACTGAGGTCTGTTTGCACATTTGTTTGAGGGTTTGAACCTGCACGCATTCACACACCTACAGGCGCTCAACTCTCAACTGATGCTCAGCTCCCATGGTGTGGAGAGTGAAGTGTAAACACAACAAAGACAGGCCTGCTGAGATGGACATGCACACAAAATCGGCCAAATGTACACATAAACCAAATGCAGTGTTGCACACATTCACGTGCCCAGATATTCTGAGAACTCGCATGAGAACTATGCTGCTGACAATTTGAATAATGCTATTTTAACTATATTCTAGAGAACACACAGATATTTTTTGTTCAAAGATCAGCTGTTCTGCCCTGCCTCTTTCTGCCACCAGAAGGCTCCCTCGGTAAAGCAGCGGAGAGTCCTGCTTTTCTCCGAGGTGCTGAAAACAGCCGACCAGGTGCAGCCCTCCATTCCATCCACTGTCTTCAAGGACAAAGACAAAGCTCGCGCTACCACAGCATTTTTCATACACACTTTAATCCACGCATCTATCAAAATGTTTCAGGAGGACGATCTAATACTGCATCCTGTACGTCTCTTCCATGATGACTGGAGACAGTGAGGGTAAATGACAGGTTGTGTGACAGAGCAGTAAAGCCATATTGTAGCCCACAGTCTTCGGTCACAGCAACGGCTCTTTTTGTAATGAGGACGTAAGGCTGAGTCGCCCTGTGACCTTTCTGGTGAGCAGGGGGTCCAGATGGATTCCCGGGGCCGCATGGGGAGCTTGTCTACCCTGGTCCTCTTCTTATCAACCCCCCTCCCCCCTCTCTCTCCCGTTTCCTTCCCTCTCTTTTTCTCCTCCAGCAATAACATCATCCATTCCCATCAGCTCCAACACGTGAGCAAGCTCAGCTCAAGAGGCAAATGTCAATGGCTATCAGACGGCTGGAAAAGGTCAGGAGTTCAGATTGGGAGCAGACGCGCGTGTGTATGTGTGCGTGGGCGTATGTGCACATGTGCTGGTAGATGAATATGTGGATATTTTTCATGTGAATCACACCAGCGGGAAATTATAACACTCGCCAATTTAATTCTGACAAAATAGTGGCACATCCCAACCAGAGGGGGAATCTAATGAGCCTAAGAGTGATTTATTCATTCCCTCCAAGTCCCCGAGTGCACAACTAAAAGCATGAAATGGATTAAATAAATACAATTAATAAGGAAAATCAAACAATTCACTGTGCTGTGGCATAATTACCCTAACCACAGCCATCAGCTTTATTTATTTCTGTTCAGTAATAGCAATGAAATCGATTAGACCTCAATGCCAGTCAGAGTGCTCGTCGTGAACTCTGCAACCATGGACTATGCATTAACATAATCACCTGACAGAGGGAAGTACCCTCTATTATAACACATCATATGCTCCCAACACACCAAAAATCCTTTATACACATTTTGTAGTTTATTGTAGCAACAAAGGCATGGAGTCCATACTGCTCTGCGATTCACTTATTCCATGGACAGTCACAGATTAGTATCTATAAAAGGAAGATGGCCATCATCTAATCTTGATCATTACCGACAGACTTAATTGAACAATGAGAGGACGCAATTCCCCTCTCTGTCGCTTCCTCCTTCCCTCCCTCCCTCCCTCCCCTCACTCTTCTTCTCTCCTCCCTTTGTGCATGCTCTTGTATAATTCCTTCCCTGAGATGTGGGGCACTAAACCCAAAAAGGCAAGGCATAAAAAATGAATACGTATCATAAACAATTCTCGAGCCGCTTCCTGAATAATGAATGGAAATCTAAGAATAAGCCTTTGTTTTGATTATTGACAAAATTAATTTCTGCTGTTTTACTTCCTTAAGAGCTGGCTCATACCCATTGCCACACTGCCTGCTGTTTGCAGACAACAGGAGTGTAAATAAACATGACGATTAAGCCACCCACTTATACAGGGAGAATCAAGGTGCACACACACTCAAACACACAACACAAACATACACTTTGTGCATAAATGTAAGCACTCTCACACACACACAGGAAAAATACACAGCTATGCACATTGGCAGACTACCCTGAGCACCCAGCCTGGCGCCCTGCGAGTGCTTTTAAATGAAAACATGTTTAATTAATGATGTTGAAGTATTCTGTCACAATTAGGAAGATTTACGGTCAAACAATGCAGTAGTGATGTCCCTGACAGCCATGATGAAAGTTTACCCCTCTTGCCTCTGACTGGCAGCTAGCAGCCAACGCTGGACTGGATCCATTTCCCATCAATACAGTAATGCAATACACTCGGCAGCACTGTAGTGTATATATGTGTGCGTATGTGTGTGTCCGTCCTTGCCTAGCTCTTGTCCACATCACATGACCCCAGAGAGGGGCAGGCAGTGGCTGTGCTCTCTATTGATTGTGTGGGCACACGTCATCTAGGGTTTCAGCAGTTAATAAATCAGGCCTGCTCCTGACACAACCGTGTGTGTTTGTGTGTGTATATATATATATCCGTGTCTGTGTGTGTGTGTGTGTGTGGGCCTGTCACAGACCAGTCAGCAGGAGTGAAAGCGACAGCCACATGATAATGTAACATCACCACCATTCATCCCTGCCACACAGCATTCTGAGACAAAACAACAACAACCTAGGAACCTGAAAAAAAGCAGCGTGATTTACAGCAGACATGACAAGTATCACTAATACAAATCCTCCCCTCCCCGCTCCTTCAAGGAGTTCAGCATCCCCGCTCTCATCTGCATTTGATACAAGCCCAATAAAGCAGTGTTCATAAGATGCAGCACTGTTACACATTTCATACTGACCCACACGCTAGAGGTAAACTGAAGTGCTAAGCAATGCTATTATCCTAACTGAGAACACTAAATGAATATTATGTTACATTACATCCAATTTACTATATATGTGGTCATTTCTACTGAATTGAATCTGGGCTTTAATAAAGAAAGGGTGATTGTTATAGAATTACTAATCATACCTCACAATAAAGTCTATGAAAGCAATTGCTGTATTATAAATACTGTGTTTTACCAACTTAGCACTACACTCCTACAACATGGTCAGACTAATAATGGACAGTTAAAAACAAAAAGGATGAAAATTTATGCTGCTGAACCAAAGAAATTGTCTAATTTATTCCACGTAATCTCATTCATTGGAACGTACATTAACCATAATTCGACGATCCACAGTTCTGCGGGAGATTTGGGTGTGTTATGCTAGTAGCGGCTAAGGTAGCATCGAGCCGCTAGCATCAAGCAGGCTACACAGGTCTGGTTCTTTCATTTTGTCTCCACACCTCCCAATTTCTTTCCTTTTAAAACTTGTTGTCTTCAATCCCAATTGACGCTGACTCAAGTGACATCACTTGAGGTAATTTATCAGACTTCATGCATGCTCCCTTTGATGCCACGAAAGGCTTTATACAACTTTATTCACACAGGCAGTGCTCCCCGGGGCCTGTTCACCCTTAAAATGTTGTCCAAACACAAGCAGTCATAGAAGAGCTTTTCCTGAATACAATACAGAGTAAAACTAGCAAAATTTGGACACAGTGAGGTGAAAACTGTGTCCAAACTGTCAAAAACCCATTTAGTTTGTTATTACATTTGAGAAGTTGGGAGTAGTTAATGTTTGCGATTTTTACTTTTGCCAACTAATCAATTAAACCAAACTTAAGTAGTAGGAATGAAGAGTATGAATCGGATCAAGCATCCAAAGACAGTTTTCGATAGTGAGTGCTATTGAGGTTCAAAACCAATGAAAAAAAGCAGTCATCATAAAACGCAGCATTGTGCCATATATTATATACTGCCACTCACAGTAGAGGCAAACTTCATTGCTAAGCAATGCTATTATCATTACTGAAAACACTGAATATTACGCTGCATTATATCCAATTTACTGTATATGTGGTAATTTCTACTGAACTCTATTAAATCTGGGCTGTAATAAAGAAAGCACAATCATTATGAAATTATTAATTGTAGCTTAAGTCTATGCTATGAAAACTATCGTTATATTCTAAATATTGTGTTGTTTAAATAGTCTTAAAATGTTTTTTTTCTGTAAGCTGAAAACCAGATTTGTGGTCTATCCATGAACTCAAGGGAAACTTTCTCAGGCCCAAAATGTTCTCTCCATCACCAGATAATGGGAAGCTGTACAGCCTCAGTACACAAGGGCATAGTCATAAAGTACCTCTAAAACAGCTTTATGTTTTATCAGCTATCTCGAGTATCATGTGCAGAAAAAGGGCAGAGCCGGGGTGTTGTATCTGAC